TCATGTCGACTCTTTCATGAGGTACTAAGCGACAAAGCCTGAGGCAGGGCTTTCTATTGCCAGCTCCTAAATTACAAAGTTAAAAATCTCTCGCATTCCATGCATTTCCCTAACTTACCCAGCAAGTCCTTTAAGTTTACCATCCACACTGCGATGTCTAATCACCATCTTAGTGAGAGAGCCACCAATGTCTTTGCAGCATCCTAGTAAAAAATATTTGATGATTAATAATCATTATTACACGACTTGGGCAGTCAGAGGGCCAATAACTAAAACCAACCAATCAAAATGCTCTATTGCCGGTCAATATTCTCTCAGTATTGGACCGGGCACTGTCCCGAATGGTCCCAAATGATACAGCACTTATGTCCCTTTGAACTTCAGTCATATAATAAATCTCTTATTAACCAAGCTTGCTCGGGACCCTGCTAGAAGAATATCGGCCCTCAGTCTTTTTTGAACGGACCTCGCTGCGCTTGGTCCGTACTGTCAAGACCTCGGGCCGATATTCTCCCAGTACGGCCCTCGCACTTGGTTAACAAACTCCAGTATAACAAAGTGTAAATTCCAAAGATTAGTCTGTGAACAAAATTTTGTAATTATAGGGGAAATAACTATCTACTGCATCCTTAGATTAATATATCCCAGCCAGCTGGTCACATTCGAGAATTTGGAGACCACAGTACAGCTAACTTGCTTTGAGAACTTCAGGGCCTAGAATAATAGTATTCCTTACCAATTGGAAATTTAGAATTTTTCGCTCAATAATAGTGGTTAAGTGTAAAGCACAACAGGAGCTGAAAATTTCTCAGAAAATTTTGTTCACTTAATGCAATTCTGACATGCACAAATTCATGCACCTATGTCAGGGCTCAACATTAACTTTTCAACTTACTGGCCAAATGGTTAGTGACAACATAGATGTTACAATAATTTCAGTTTGTTTACTAGCAAAACTGGCTAATGGAAATCAAAAACCACCATCCAAAATTGAATTTCTACTAGTCCGTGGCTAGTTGGCTAATGTTAATGTTGAGCCCTGCTATGTTACCAGTAAATAAGAGTAATGACAAAGATTTGCCCACTGTTCTCTGGAGAGATTGTAGTTGCCAGTAATGAAAAAATTGTTGGTAGTGCATTTAGCTGGTGGTAACCAAGTCAGTGTAATCAAGAACATTAGCATCTATTCCATTACAAGCTATTCCACTTGCCTTAACTGATTACTATCTTTTCAGTTTTAGTCAATCTTTTTGGATATTACACAAAGAAAACAAAGATCAAAGTTACTTCAGATCAAGACAGGTCTTGGACTATTTTGTTTTGATGAAGTAGGCACCGCTTCAAAAACAAGAAGCCAACAAAAAGGCTGGCTGCTGGTGCTTCTGGAAAACACTGTTTGCCTATAGTAAATGTACACAACACCCTTCAAGTGGGCTGTCAATCACCTCAACTCCATTAAGTGACCACAAGTCTGGCATCAAGGTTTTCAAGTACTACAAACTATTTCCATCCAAGCAGGAACCAAGACAATTGAGTACAAAGCTGCTGGAAAGTCTACGATATGCTTGGAACTAATAGAAGAACACTTAAGCTACTAAAATGACAGACCAAAATAAAAACTCTTCCACACTTAATGCAAAGCATGCATGACCAAAACCATACATATTGTTATCTTTACAATGGAAATTTCTTGACATGATTTTGCCATGATAAAGAAAATTTAATTAAGAACACAGGAGCAAATCCTTTCTCAGTGGTGATAGCAATATTAAACAAAGAGAAAAATAGTGTAACTGATAAATTTTTAGTTTGCTACTGGCCTGTCACACTGCAAAGATAAAGACACATTTTTTTTCCATTCACAGAATGACTGATGTGAAGCCAATCTTACGTCAAATAATTGAATTTTAACAGTGTAATTAAGACTGACAACAATAATTTATGAGTGACAAAGTGCTTCGGTCATCAGCAGTGAACTAGAAAGGAATGTGCTATGACAACATCACTATAAAATTTCAAATCAAGAGATGAGAACAAAGAAATCTTCCTCTAGAATGAATTCTTTGTTTTGTATGCAATAGGAGTGAAAAAAAAAAATTGTGTGTGTGATAAATAAAAGGAAACCCCTCCTTTTTATTTAGGGAACTACTCTAAGAGACAAACTGGAAATATTTCGTGCAACATTGTTTAATACAGTCAATCTCAAAACATAAACCATCTACTAGCATGATTACATCTGCATATGAGCAGCAATCCAGTTTATTCTGTGGTGAATAATTAACCATTCAAAGAGAAATAAACAGCATTTTTAATATATTGTCTGAAATGATTGCTTATTTGATGAAGCAAAATCATCCAAAAATGAAATTGTGATTACTCAAAAGTCCATGTGCCTGTCTTACTCGAAGCTGAAAGTGTCTCTGGATAAAAAGTACACTTTGACATGACTGTCAAGCCAACTTTTTTAATAAATATTTTTTTTAAAGTCAATTAAAATAAGGCCCTTTAAACCTACAACTTATCAAAGGAAGTTGAGGTATTTCATTAAGCACAACAGCCCCATTAAAGAAAAGATGATATCTTGAATCCAGGGTAGCAGTTTGGGCCAACACATGGTTACTGAGAGGATAGTCACAGTTAAAAAAACTAGCTATGTCTTCTGATATGACAAGTACACTAGCTAAGAATAAAATGACAACACTCTTATCTTTCAAATTTGTTATGATATATCTTCCTTGCATGTTGTTTACATATTTGTTTCCCATTAAAAACAGATAGGACACTGAGACTGGCTAAATTTTGGAAGTCTTAATTTCCTCACAAAATAATTTTACATAAAAGTATGAACTGATTTGAAAACAGAGGGCTTTCCATCCAATGTAATCACTTCCAATCATCATTTGATAGTCAAAATAAAAGTTTTTAAGCCAAAATTTCACAGTTTTTCAAAGCTCCTGTTGGATAACTTTACCCACTCTAAGTCACCACCTATTTCTAAGAAAGACAAATTTGGTGATATTATCTCAATGCACATTCTGTTCTCATTTCCTTTTACAACATTCACGATCCAACAATTAAAAACTTACATAAAAAATGCATATTTCATATCCTTTTTACAAATCAACCTAATAACAAAATTCCCAGCAGGATGCAATACAGTATTAATTTTCTCAAAGTACCAAGTTAGACACCCAACAGGAAAAAAAATTTAGCAAAAAATCAAGCCACAGTAATACACAACTTGTGAATGTTCAAAAGTCAAGTAAAATGGGTATTTCCTTCCCTAAAAACAGACTTTCCCTTCTCTGCAGGCAGAAGTAATATAACACCTGCACAATGCCTAGAACATGAGAAATTTTATAGTAGTCTATGACAATTCTTGAACTCAATTTGCTTTGTACAATGTAAGTAATGTAATGTAAGTGATATAAAATGCAGGACCGTTGGCTTGTACAAAGCATTTCAACAACTTTTAATATATTCTAAAAACACAAAAAATAAAGGATTCACCGCAGAATCTTGAGGTCGATTAGTTTCATTAACTGTTTCCTTCAGAGAAGATGATTGGTGAACACAATTCAAACTTAAAAATCTGTATCAAAGCAAAACCTTTCAATTTGCATGATCTTTTTGGTGCCAAAACAATGTAAAAAAACTCGCGCAGTTGCATTACAAATAAGAAAAAAAAGAGATTTATTTTGGCAGTTTGACAATATTCAATCGGTAAATTCTCCTTTTTAAAAGAGGACCACCACGCTGGGCTGACACGTATTTCCTGTTTTTTTCTTTTTCCATCTGAACTCGATCTATTCTTTGCAAAATTTTGTCGAGTTTTTCTTTCATCAACGCAGATTTTCAAGACCCTCTTAACTCAATCAGCACCCAGAAATACGGAACAGGTGGTACGATACCGGATAAAGCAACGAAACCAAACCGCAAATTTGAAGCTGGGAGATTGATAAGATGGCAGGGAAAAAAATCACGATTGCTGACAGTGAAAACATAGTAAAGAACAAATGTTTTTACGCGCCGAAAGAAAGAAAACAAAAAAACAAATATTCCCTCAGTAAGCACAAGCGAATATCACACAAATAGTGCGGAACAAAATTGCGCGGTAAAATACGATTTCTTAGCGCCAAAATTTTTTAACGGACAATGGTGCGAACCAGTTTCTAAGCGAACAGCTTGGGCTATTGTGATAGTTTCAAGTATAAAAATTTCTTGAACTTTACTGGTTTATGTCAAGTTTGCAACGTCGCCATGACCGTGTCATATTTCTGCACTGAACAACAACAAAGCAATCGTTGTGGGCGCGAACGTCTTCTTGACGCTACTACTTCTTTCATTTCAAAATCACTAGATCACTTATTCGCACAGCCAAAAACTCCGATTAAGGCAATTCAACATAAACATTGCCCAGGTATCGTGCCATTTTAGTTAACTATTAAGCAGAATTGAACAACATGCCGTCACATTTCTTTTAATTACTATAAAATTATAAAAGGATTTATAAATTCTCTCATCGATAGCTTTCCGTAAAAGACCTAGGAGAATACTCGATCAAACTTTCCTCGAAGTCAAAATTTAACTACCCAGTGTTATAAGAGAAAGTGGCTCACTAGTCAAAACTGAACACGAAATTCTTTCACAAAAAGTAACTTTGCCAAAATAAACAAGAACTAAAAATATCTTGAGCTCAGACTGTGACCCAATGAACCTAAACCGTAGAGTGACATGGTTCACTACAACATGTGCTTTTGGCTTGTCTAGTTTGTAATTTCGGCCAAAAAGACAAAGAGACATCTTGTTGGCCTGCTTCTTGAATACCTAGCTGGAGTTCCTACTAAATAACTAAGGCTCTAGAGCAAATAAAAGTTTAAGTACACGCGGCAAAATGAAAGTGCCGTGTAAGAGTGGTGAACTTACCTCGTGACGAATTCGCTAAATCCGCAACTCGCTGAAAAGCGTCTAAAAAAACGTCAGCAGCTACAACTGTTGCCCTGAACAAATAAATATCAAAAACAATTACCCTCCTTTTCCTTAGGGCAAAAATCTGAGACATCAAAATGTAGATAAAAAAATTACTAAATTATACGAGACGTACTTAAGCGCTGAATGTAGTTTACTCGCTTTGCCGACGAAATCCTCCCAAACGGGGGCGCTCGACTGAAAGAAATTGAAATATTAACACTGAGTCAATCTAGAAAAATTGAACAACAAAAAAGATTTTCAGGATCAGACAGAATTATCACCTTTAAATCGTTTAATATCAAGTGAATCAAGTTGCCTTCGCTGTCCGCGTTGTCTCCCATAATTATGGCGGTTCGTAGTTCGCTTTCGTCCTTCTTCTACCCTCACGTTTTAAACATGGATTCACCGAAGTCTCCCAATTCTTTCTATTGGAATTCTAGGATTCTTTTCGTCGCGTAGGGATAGGAGTGTCAGTTTTCGCGTAGTGTCCAAGGATATCCTACCGAACGTACGGAAGCAGAACTATTTCTTCTCTACAAAGAAAATACACCTTTCCGATTAGTCCCACTCATATCACTGTCTGTGATCAAGTCACGTGATATATTATCAATGACTAAATTTGCATACAGCGAAGGACGCGGCTGATGGCAAATTAAAACAAATTTCTTCTTGGTAGTATCATCAATTAACAAATTTACGCTCAGAACAGGAAATACTATTCATCAAAAGACGTCCTGAAGTGTCGCTCTACGTCGCTTAAAAGGTTTTAAAAAACAGATCGAGACATGCAACGGTTGATAAGTGATCTTGGGATGACAGACGCATTAAATTTGGTAATGTTGAAATAAAGAACCCAAACTTATTAAATTTGGTAATGTTGAAATAAAGAACCCAAACTTTTGTAATAGGGCGAGTATTTCAGGAACAGATAATAACTCTAGAAAGTCTAGATTACGATGAGGAGGAAACTTCGTGCCAAAAGTAAGAAGTAAAAACCACAAACGTAAACACGGATGAGCCGGGGGGCTTGAGCGCTCGAAGGCGTGCACTATATTTCTCTAAAAACATTAGTCCAAACTTATCAAAACTGCTTCCAAGTAGTAATTTTGAGGAAAAGATACTCGCAGTAATTTTTGAGACCCATATCATCGATACATAAATAAGATAAACAAATGAAATACCTCGACGTTCCACTTATCAAGCGCGCGCATCTTTAAAATGTATCTTGGAACTTCATTTGTCAAGAACTATCTGCCGGCAATGACTGTTAAGGTCGCGGTGACTCGTATCAACAAAAACAAATCTGAAGTTTGTCTCTGTTTGAGGACTAGCACAAAGTGACTAAAAACAGATGGCGGCAGAAGCTTCTCGCAATATGTCACTAGGTCATAAACTCACATAGCTGGCAAATTAAGATCGGAGGCTTTGATCGAAAACAGATCGAGAAAGGAATGAAAATGTCGACTTCCTTCACCTTTTGGCGCCCCCATTTCATTTAATTTATTTTTATCGCCGTTCAGAACGGAGATTAGCACCTTTACTCTTGGTGCTAAAAAGTAAATTAAGAAGCTTTTCAATCTGATAATCTGGTGAAACTCAGTGAACACTTACAACTGTACGAATTTACACTGAATGAACTTCTCGATCCATTCCCCAAGTTTCCGTGTAAAAATCGTCACCCACAAGTTCTTCTTCCAGTTTTTCCAATATTCTGTTTCCTTAAACCGTTTAACGTCAGAGAGATAAAAACATGCTTAAAACGTGTTTTCTAGAACAAGTACTTTTGAAGTAAGTGCGGTTTGAATCTCCGACTAAGTTGTGGTTTCAGTTAAACAAGATTAACGATTTATTAAAAGCCGCAGTAAAATACTTAGTCAGAATTTTGTCAATCAAGAGGTCATCACCGAAATTCTTAATGAGATAAAACGGCTCGACTTTTCTTATGGAAAGAACGCTTTTGTCCAAATCAAGGGCTTAATAAATACCAAGGCCAATATGTGCAATTCATATTGCCTCTGAGGGAAACTAAAAACGTCTCGGAAATGGGTGCTTAAAATAGGCACTGATAGTATCTCAACTGTGATGTAAAGGTAAAAAGTATGAAGCGGTTAATCGGAAGAACACTAACAAACAACTTGTCCCACCAATTTGGAAATTAAGGAACGTCGGTAGGAGTATGCAGAGGTAAAAAAAGAAGCTACTGGGATAAAAAAATGTACTGAGTGACATCTGTTAATGTGCTACAGTCGTTCCATATGAAGCTACGAAAGTTTGATTATGCAACGGGTTGGAAACTCAAGTAAACTCGTAAGTGCATCAAGATGCAATCAATATTTCTGCAATTTTAAACGTTGATTTTTATTGAGGAAGAAATGGTGAGGACATACAACAAACGTCGATTAACTCCATCGGAGGTTGCCCGATTTTTTTTGCTTGTTTTTCGATTTCGGTTTTTTAGCTATTTACATAAAAGAAAAGTAAAGATCAAAATATTGACAAGAAAATTAATTCATACATGCATATGAACACTGTCAGTGGAGGCACTTTGGTATTGACCTTTATTTACGTGGTTGTGCCATTACGCAAAGTTATCGAAACTTTACATCTTTTCAGCTGAACTTTGCAAAGAGAAACGGGCTGTGTGACTATTTCGATATCTCCGTGTGTAAAACTTCTCATGTAAGCAAATCATTGAGGATAGGATAAGACATGAACATGCACAACAAGGATTTTTGCTCCCAACTGACAGCAAAAAGGCATCTCGCGTAAAAACACTGAACTTTGGTTGGAAAACGAGAGAGGTTTATGTAAATAATGAAACAAGAAGCAGAGGAGAATCTTGAAATGCCTTTAGAAACAAAATAGTGCAATTTCACAAGTTTATAACACTTTTGAAATCAAGATGGGCTGATAACTTTACTATTAGAAGAAGTGCGGGTTACGGAGAGCCTCACCTTAAAACCAAGCCACTCTGAGATTAGCCATTGGACCCGTTTATCGAGGAAAAAACGATTCCGTCGCTAATCATAATAATTAGTTATTTCGAAACTTATCTCAATCATGCGCCCATTCTGATCAATTCTCGCCGTTGATAGAAAGTAACAGAAGGAGGAACTCGTTAAACGTTTCAGTTTTCGGCTGCAAGTCTCAAGCGCGCGATATCATTTTAAATTGACGCCTTTTACTCATACATCGTCATGTTCGAGAAAAAAGTCGGAAGAAACTTCTGTTCATCTACAAAATTCAGTGACATTTTTCAGTCTCCTTTCTTCTGGACTAAAAAATAATTCTCACTTTCCATTCATCTTCGGTATGAAAACAGACCAAAGACAGTATTATTTTTCTTTCGATAACACATTGTCAGGGCGTTAATTCACTCGCGGTTTTATTGTTGCAAGTGCACCGTTTGGTACTAATGCAAAAACACTTTTCGTTATATCATAAGAAAAGGGTTCATCGCAACACGCCATTCTCATCTTTCCGTGATAATTGGTTTGGCCGCAATACTTCGCCGCAAAGGGAAGTACTTTAAATGTCCGGCACGCCCGCAAAGGTTATATTGGATTGGAGCCATCATCGTACTTCAAATACCCGCCGTGTTGTCTGAGAACCCTGAATTTATTAAGGGAATCGTGCTGTTATGTAGTTATATTATAGAAACGCGATTCCGGTTAACTATCAGGAATACAGATCTCTAAACACAAACAAACAAATACTCGACCTAACTATTGCATGATCTTGAACCGCAGTAGACCCTAAAAAGGCTATTTGGAAACCACCAAAACAAAAGTGCAGTGAAAAATCATAACAAAAATTATCAAGCGATAAATGTGTGAGAATCTAGAGGAAAGAACGGCTTATTAAAGGAATGTAAAACTTACTGAAAACGCCAGTATTAAGGAACAGAGCGGTGTCAGACCTTATAGATAAAGTGCGCATAACATCGATGGCAAGTTCGTAACTCGATCATCAAAGCTCAGTCGTAACCGCTTAGAGACCAGCAACTGCTTGGTAAAGAATTCTTCACACATTTAGATATAGCTACTACTAACCAGATATAACTAACAAACGGAGAGCCACAGTATTCCAGTTTCTCCGGCAGCAGTCATCTGAATTTCGTTGTTTCGTTTCGAATGAGTAAGCATCAAGAAGGTCAGTTATATGGAACACCGCCTTTGACGTCACGAGGCTAGTGTCACATGTTCCGGCTGAAGTGGCGTGACGTTACATGCGAGTGTGTCACGTTACAACAGAGTGACTAAAACAGGAAGCGACGTGTCATGGCGACTTTGACTTCCATTTTACAAACAACAACTAAACACGATATACAGGTTAATAACGAAGGAATTTGACGGGCACAAGTGCTGACAAAACTACGATTGCGAACCAGAAATTCCGGACCGGACCGTCAATTGGATAACGGAATAAATATAAGCGTAAAAATCAATAAGTCCAAGATGAATCAAACGAGATCACAGGTGAGAATTCGAAGCGAGTTTTAGTCTATCTTTATTCGATTCTTTGTCACTTTGGCTGGTACAGTTTTCCTCCAGACAACCCTTAGAGCTACGTCGCAGTTTTTCAGGCATTCTCCAAAAGTTTGAACTAAGTTTTCATATCTCATTTGACTTCCTTAATCTTCTGGCCGTACATTACTCTTGCCTCGTGGCTGTTTTTTGTGTCGTAGCAAACAATTATTTTGAGGTTTCATTCTCTAAATTAAAGCCATTTCACTCTGACGTTCAAAATGATATCGTTAACAAGAGCAAAAGGGCACATGTATATAAGGTTTATACCTCGAAAAACAATATATGCCTCAATTTGGGTCGAGGAAACATTTTCACTCTGAAAAATTGGAATGAAAGGCGTACCAAATCGAAAAAGAAAACTTAGAAATACACGCTTACCTGAAAGAATCGCCGGAAGATCTGAACGACAAACTGTGCTCAAACCTGTATATCACGGCAGAAATCAGTGTAGCACTTCACACGCTGAGACCAGCTTTGCACATGGCAAAACAAAACATTCGGTCGATGTCAATGGACAGCCTGTTTTAAACAGTTTAAAGTACTGAAGTAGCTGCCAAGAAACACATGATTACTTTGTTAACGCGTGACCGACCAAGCCGCTTTAAGAAGTGCCTACGCTTTGTGAAGATTTCGATGGGAATTTTACGAGTGGAGAACTTTTATATGAGGGAATGTACCTTTCGTAATATACCTTTCGTGTCAAAAACTTGACCTTCCTTCTCGACTGGATGTCGATGAAATATCAGTGGTGTTTGTTTCAATTCAGTTTGAAGTACCTAGCGCTATTTTTGTTACTGGCCCATGTGCGTATACCTCTTAGTGATTTAACCAGGGGATGAATCAAGTAATTTTCCGCTCTCAGCAACCCAAGTACTTATGTATCATTTTTCGCGCCTCTCTCCGGAAACTCAAGTACCAGATTTATTTTGATTATCAGAAATCTCCTCTTACATGGACCGGCCGAAATAAAAGCAAAAAAAATTAAAATGCTGATAAAAAGTCAAGAAAGCGACCTGGCATTTGTAACGTTTTCATTCTGATTTGATTTTTTTTCATTTATCAATTTTTGTTTGGATGTTGTAGTTTTTATTGTTTTTTTTTTCTTCACTAACCAGACCGGTCTAGACTAGAAAAGCATGGCCAAACGGAGCTATCGAAAGTTTATCTAATTCTGTTACATGAGCAGAGCTTAAAAGGAAATCTGTATAATCTTACCAAGAATTTTGGAAGGCCAGTCGTATTAGCCAGAGAATCTGGCAAGTTCGTCACTCTACTTTTGAGAAGATAACAAAATCTCGTAAGTTTTTAATGTTAGAACCATCAAGTAATTTGACATATTTATCAAAGCACTCTTTTAGAGGCAAAAGATTTTAATTTGGCGACAACATTGTACTTAAACCATTGAAGTGAACGTTCTGCAAATATTCGTGATCCTCAGTCCTTTTAAAGTGCTACTGAAACGAAATTTTCGTATCTGAGATTTTCGCTCTAACTTGTAGTTTTGAATATGCTGATCATCATGAGATAGTTTGCTTTGACCAAAAAGAAGCGAAAGATATCTTTTTTAACCGTTCAAATCAAAAATTTTACACAAAACCATGTCCGGGCTCTGGTACCGAGCGAAATGGATTGATGATGTCACTGGTTGTGTTCACTCCGATAGCATGGTTTATTTCACTCAGTGTTTGTTTGTATTCGTGGGCGAAGGAGATGGCAAATATTGAAGTTTTGTCAAGTGAATCTTCTTCTGAACGAAGCGAAGTTGTCTCCAGTAGCGAAGAGGAAGATGGTGGCGTAAAATGGGGTTGACAGGCCTATACGACTCCTTGGCGTGTGTTTAGAGTAGCCTATTTTAAGTTTAGCCCTAACGAGTATGTCTTTGAGCGACCGCCCTCTTTTGTATGATACGAGCGGCGGATTTTTGTATAGTTCGCTCAGTAGTGGTTTTGTTTCTATTAAATGCCAGTTTTTCATGAGAATTTGCTTTATGTGTGGCACTGAGTACGCACATCAGGGATTGCGTCTTTTTCTAATCGTTCGCCTTTGTAGATGTACAGCTACTTTTTTGACTGTCTCGATCGTTAAGTTGTCTTGATTGCTTTCAGCTTGCGCCACGCGCGCTGATTCGATCGTACTACAGTTCTTAGTGTTCAGTGTTCCAGCCGTTTTGGCTCGTTTTCTTTTCTTTATTTCGGTATTAAAACGACCGATTTCACGTTCATAGAAGCACATGATCGCCTTTACTGTTTCTTGCTCCGCGTTGTTAAGGATTTGCTTTATCTCATTTTTGAAATCCTCGTCTGCTCTTATTTTGGCCCTCGCCCTATATTGTAGGGATTCTGGGCATGTTCTGCTAGGCATTTGGTACAGAGGGATTTGTTCGTTATCCTCAGACTTGCCGAGTAGATCATCTTCAGTGGCGGTGTCGTATGAGGCTTCCATGTTTTCTTCATTCTCTGAATGGCATTGCTTTGGCCCGGGGCGTTTAGTAGCCCATCTGCCGTTATAATGTCTTTCGAAATTTTCTGTAGATGGTCAGGCAAGACCGCGGTTTCGATCCTAATCTTGTGGATCTCGTCAGTTGCCGATTAACTAAATAGACTGGTAGAGATTCGTTCTCGGTATCAGTCGGGAATTTTGCTCCCTATCCAGGCGAACCTCTCGCAGATAGCCAAGATGCCGATGTGGCCGCCGATGAATAAGACGAGGATGGCATTTTGCCCGAAATCCTCTTTTTCGGCTTCCCAACATGCAAGCCACACTCCATGCTTTTACCCTTCTTTCACAGAAGTACACAACCAGTGACGTCACAGGGCTGTTTTGGCCGCGCCAAGATGGCCGCCAATTTTGATCTCAGCCGGTCAACTTCGAATGGTTAAAAATGTACTTTCCGCTATGCGTTGGCCCAAAAAAAGTACACAGCGTTTGCAAATAACGTTCAAACTCTATTATATTGCAAAAATCTCGGATATGAAAATTACGTTTCAGTAGCACTTTAAA